CCATGCCGAACGACGATCACAGCCGAAGATACAACCAAACTGTTCATCTCCACCGTCGTACGCCTACACGGGTTACCTTCGGCGATCATCAGCGATCGTGATCCGAAATTTACGTCGAAGTTCTGGCAGGAAACGTGGGCACAGTACGGTACCCGCCTGCAGTTTTCGTCGTCATACCACCCGCAAACCGACGGACAGACGGAACGGACAAATCAGACCATGGAACAGCTGATTCGCACCAACTGCCCCGACATTCGCAAGTGGGAAGATTCGCTGCCGATGCTGGAATTCGCGTACAACAACGCCCCGTCGGCCACGACTAAACAATCACCCTTCTTCCTGAATTACGGGATAGACCCCGTGGTACCCTCTTCAACGACTGTGGACAACCCGGTACCAAGATCGCAGCAGTTTGTCACGGAACTGCAAACCGCCCGAACGAAAGCAGCCGATTTCATTCGCAAGGCTAATACCACGGCCAGTCGCCAGGCGGATAAACACCGACGAAATTTACCCTTCCGCACAGGGCAGGTTGTGCTTCTGGACACCAAGAACCTTCGGCTGCCGCAGCCCGCGAAATTAGGGCCCCGATACGTGGGACCATTCCGTATCATCCAGATGGTGACACCTGTCACCGCGAAGCTGCTGCTGCCCGACGATTGGAAAATCCATGACGCCTTCCACGTCAGCCTGTTGCGTCATTACGAACAGCCGCAGTCGCCAGCTGTTGCTCGACCAACCATCGCGCCGACCACTCACCCCGTGGCAGAGCCAACGCTGGAACCTTGGAAGATTCTTAACCATCGCGTGTATGTGACTGCCGCCGGCCGCTCGGTGAAATTCCTGCTTCGCTGGAAAGACCGTACGAGCGAGGACGACACGTATGTCGCTGCTGATTCGCTACTGGGACACCCGGTTTTGGACGCTTACCTGGCCCGCCGAGGTGTTTCGGATATTCACCACCTTTCTTAAAAGGGGGGGGTAGTGTAAGGAATTTTCCGGATTCCTTACTGGGTCACACTGTACGCGTACAACCCCGACTTTCGGCAAACCAGGCTCGGCCCGCCGACCTTGCCTTCCGAGCCACCACCGCGTCGCTTTCGGGTTTTCCAACCCCGAACCTGCACCCAACCATCTCGCGACCCCGCGACCTCGGCCTAGCTAGTCTTGCTATATTGTGCCTAGGCCTCGTTGTTCATTCAGACGTTGTAATCACTTCCGCATTATTGAGTTCTGCGCACTCTTTCCTTTCACAACTTATAACAGCCTCACTAAACCCAGTAACCAGAGCGACAGGTTTTAAAAACTTGGAGTGCATGGCTTGCAATTTGGGCCGCAGGATTTGAAGAGGCAATGCAGCATTGTATGTGCTATCTAGAGATGCGCACATGACATGGACAAGGCCATAACATGCCCGCATACACATGCATCTCCACTGTGCAACAATCACTCCACTGTAGCTATGCAACTGCATCTTCTTATTACACCGTTCTCAAAACCTTACCACAGAGTGCAAAGTTGTTACCTTCACGCCCTACAATAAAGCGTGATCGTATTCCCGCCGTAGCCATAGCCTTGCGCGCTTTGACCACTGAATCTTCGATCCGCTCGTAACGATATACAAAGCTGTAACGCTTGGGGTGTTCTTTGTCCCTTGTGAGGTTCAGAAAAGTGACCGTTGGTGCGGGAGCTCCCACGGAGCAGGAAGTCACAAAGCCGGCGTTGGGGTAATCTCCTCCCTTGAGGTTCAAAAGAAGAATTCTAGAGACGATGCTGTACGACGATGCAGAGTACCTGCCAAAGACGGAGACACTCATTAGTGAGTACTGCCATGAATGCTTCCGCTGAAAGTACCGGCTTGGATTTGGTGCAAGGCTGCTGAAGTGCACGCGGTGGTTGTTTGTGCGAACGTCTAAAATAGAGGGATGGGAAACTGCTCGCAACACTCGCAAATGTCATTGTGACTCCTCAGCACTCGTATCAGCGCCGCCAGTGGCACAAGTGAAGGAGGGGACAGAGGCGTACCTCACTGCCTTGATCATGAATTTCCCCGAAGCTCGTGCGTCACCGACTAATTTCCCGTTGATCCTGGTAGGACGCAGAGTGGCCACGTATTTCACTAGCAACGCGAATTGGAAGGATTGGGAAGAAGAAAAAATGATAATGATTTTGAGCTGACATGCTCATAATAAACGGGAATGCCAAAGATATAAAAAATCAGGGAAGTACATGATTTAGCACACACATAAACACACACATCAGCACACACATCAGCACACACATCAGCATACACATCATCACAGAAATTAGCACGCACATGAGGACACCCATCAACACAAACATCAACAATTCAGCTGCAGCAAACATCTATCAACAACCTGCACAGTTTCATGCAGAAGTGATCACGATGATATGTTTCAGTTATACGGTAGCTCCAAACGAGGTTTCGAATCTTTGCAATGTATGTGCACGTCAATTCTGCGCACACAAAAGCTGGGCCGCCTGCATTGTAACGCATCCGCTGCGCCTACATAACACCCTCGTTTAGATCCAGTGGGTAGCGAGGCGTTATAGGCAGTAAGGGGAGTTGTTACTTTAAGTTGTGGCAATGCTTCAATTCGATTGATTCTACACTTACTGATTGTCCTTCCCTTAATTATCAGGGGCCTGGCTTGAGATGCAGACGCGGCCGACGCGGCAGAAGCGGCAGAAGAGCCGGCGAGGTGAGGGAGGAGCTGCGGGAGCAGCGATGTGGCCGACGCGCCGTAGGCAGTGCAGACCGTCGCACCTGCAAAGGAGTCAGGCAGGTAGGCAAGGCAGGCACGCAGACAGGCACGCAGCACGTTTAGAGACGCGAAGTGGGGCACGAATATTCAACGCTCTGTCGGATCTGCCTCTGTTATCTGATGGAAAAGTGTCAACACCAGTCGCGGTGAAAGTCACGATATGGCGAGATTGAAACCCAGCAGCAGTTCGCTCAAGATTTGAAGGGCTTACGGAGCAGCAGGCGGCAGATTAGAGTCAACGCGGCGCGGCGCTCCATGCTGATCTCAAATGCCCCGTCGGCTAGGGTTTCGGCTGAACCACTGAACCACTGAAATGCCGACGAATCACTGGGTTACGGCAGAAACCACTGAAAGTTGCGGACTTCGCGAGAATACCTCTTCAAAAAGCTTCGTATTCATCAGCCGCGGAATACCACTAAGAAACATTGAAGTTCGAGGTAACATAATTTCGAAGTGCCTGTTTGTGAGGGCGGTCGCGAGCGGCCTAGAATCGGCGTACGTGCGGGAGGAAGCCATTCGTCGCCCATCTCAGTGACGCGTAGGACAATCGCGGCCCGCTTTAACCAGAGGCCGTTAGATAAAAATGATATATTAGACTGTGGGTGCGAGACGTACTGCTGCATTGCATGGCACTGAACACCAGCTAGCTTGCCACCCGTAAGGCGCCCACAAAACGACGACATGCCCACGAAGGCTGCACGTTGACGAGCTATCAACCGCAATGTCAACGGCACCAGCCGCAAGACGATGGCAGATACCGCAACACGACAGCTTAGTAAGGACATAATTACGACTGCACGCAACGGCATATTTCGACAATGGACACCCTTTTACTCTACAAGCGAGTTCGCGCTATTGCTGTTTCGGTGTATGGACATCTCCAGAAAGAATACTGCACAGCCTAAAGAAATAAAGTCACTTCGACGGATAAATACTTCTGCCTTCCAAGTTGGTTGCAGAAGGTTGGGGGATGACTTGCCAGTGAGAAAATTTCATCTCGAGCTCATTCGATCCCGATCGGAATCGTGAGGCTTGTGAGATTGTCATCAGCATTATTTTCTTTCCCGATGTACGGACCTGATGCAGAACGTATTGGCTTAGCACAGGTCGGATTGGATCAGAACGGCTGTCAACCGCTTAGCGTTGCATGGAAATTTTGAAAATCTCTGTGCGTTCCTGAGGAGGCTGAAACTCCATGTGCGTTCCTCATGCCTCTCGGTTTGAGTGTGTCGCATCGCCTCAAAACACTGGTGGTCCGATCCGATCCAAGACAGGTCCAGCCAGCGGCAGAAAGTGGAGCCTGGATTCACACAGGAACAACATGGCTTCTGAGGCGCCTCAAAGCCGTCTCGTCGCCCCATGTCTCTCTGTTTGAGAGTAGAGACACAGATACTACCCTGTTTCGCACACAGGTTCAGGGTCAGAGAGTGGCTGGGCAGTGGGCAGTGGGCACACGGGAACAGCAGGTGACACTGTTGTCACAGAACGCAAGAGAAGCTAGGTGCCTGACAAAACCGGGTAGCAGTGTAGTCAGATAATCTAGGTGCCTGAACGCTACAGCTGGCAGAGCTGACGTGTCAATCAGACTACCGGTACTATGCGTATGGGGATGCTGGGTCTCCTCACGAGATTCCTCCACAGTATGCCCATACATGCCCATACATGCCCATGCATGCCCATGCATGCCCATGCATGCCCATGCATGCCCATGCATGCCCATGCATGCCCATGCATGCCCATGCATGCCCATGCATGCCCATACATGCCCATGCATGCCCATACATGCCCATACATGCCCATACATGTCCATACATGCCCATACATGCCCATACATGCACATACATGACCAAGCATGTGCATACATGCCTGTACAGGCCCACACATGCCCACACATGCCCACACATACCACACATTCTCATACATGCCCGTACATGCCCGCACATGCCCATACGTGCCCATACGTGCCCATGTGTAGCCCCATACATGCCCATGCATGCCCATACATGCCAATACATGCCCACACATGGCCATTTCCCCTACATGCCCATCCATGCCCATGCATCCATGCATTCATGCATCTATGCACTCATGCATTTATTCAAAAGTATGTCCGTACACACATGCCAATGTATCAGGACAGCCCGATGCACTGGAGTCAAGGGTAAAATCGAATCCATATTGCACCTCCCACGAAGTTGGTGGCGCCATGGATTGTTAGTTTCTCTTCCGTCTTCTCTTGGGTCCCCCCTCAGAATGACCAAACTGCTCCAACTCCTTCTTGCCACCTTGAACTGATTCTTGCCCTTCAGAAATCTCTCCCCCTCCCTTTTCTCCCTTTTCTCCCTTGTCTCCTCTGCCTGCCTCTCTCCCCTCTTCCTTGCCTTCCTTCTCTTCCTTATCTCCATTCTCATCCAAATCCGGCGCTCTAAACCCGAGCTCCTTGATAATATCCCAAGCCGCTTCGTCAACAGGCATCACCGATAGCCGAGATTGGCGCACCAGCGCGATGTGACTCAATCGCGAGTCCTCCTTAATAGCACGCAGCGTGACCGGGCTCGGGAACGCCTCAACGGTCTCCACATCCACCATGCCGAATTTCTCCGACTTGTCGCTGGGATCGGGGTAATACTCCTTGCAGATTTGGACAATTCCCATGACTCGACGCTCCTTGCCTGAATGAGTGACAGTCGGACAGAATTAATTTTGTGAATGAGGGGATATGCTGGAATGGAATTTGACATGGTAGTAGACAACTTGAAGCATCAGAAGTCAAGAAAAGGTTTCAGACAATTCTCACAGCTTTCCTTTTCTTGCCTGAATGGTACTACTGAGTCAGTGGTACTGACATGCTACACAGAGTGAACCACGAAGACGTCCCTCTTAAAGCCGAAGTCCAGATTGGACCATAGTCAAAGCTCGCCTTGACTGACTCACTCAATTTGAAACGGAACGAGGTGAATCATACAAACTGAGATTAGAAACGCTGGCCTTAACTGGACAATTGTCAGGTCGAGCTAGCTCGCTGCAAGGCGGCCTTGCCTGAGTGGTAAAAGAATGTGAGGTCGCCGGACTTCATGGCTTTCATGTTGTTCGCCGCTTGGTGGTTTTTAAGTTGACTCAGACACGACGATCGTCGGGTCACTTGCCTTGCCTTTTGATGCGCCTCAAAAGCCGGACAATTGTCAAGCTAGCTGGCCTTGCCTGAGTGGTAAAAGAAGGCGAGGTCGCCGGTCTTCATGGCTTTCATGTTGTTCGCCGCTTGGTGGTTTCGCACGCCGTCCCACGGCTCTACTTTCTTCGCCACCTGATCGTCCCATGACCACGTCTCGGGCTCGGATTTTAGTAGCCACTTCGCACACATCACGAGTAGCCGCGGCTCGGACCAGCTTTTGCTGCTGCTGCTACGACTTGCTAAATACCGCGAAAATGTGGCATCGAAAAGCGATAAATCTCGGAACCTGGGACTGAGAAGTGAAACGAGCAAGAGGCCTGAATGTCTCGGTTTGTTCGACAACGAGAAGATACCAGCGCGGGTGGCTGAAGCGCGAGCTTGCGAACCGGAGAGCGCTGCAGAAAGCATGTATGCGTCTCAGCTGTAGAACAGCCTGCTGGCATGGCGTCCTGCTAATATGTAAAGCCTGACCATGTCTCAACTAGGGACAAGGTGGAAGATTACGGAATCTCCCAACGTACCTCCTTAGTCTTAGACGACGAAGGGTGGGAGCGTGGTGAAAGTGGAAGAAACGGTCCGAAGGATCACGACCTAGTATATGGGTACTGTGTGAACATCAGTGCAACAGGCAAATTCCGCAATTATGGCTGAGTCTGGTAACTCACGAACATCTGCGACACGCCCAGAAAGTGTCAGGTGGCCCACCATTTGTGCAATCAGTTACAGGAGAGCAAACATGTCACCACTGTTAACAATAATAAAACTTGCCAGATTAACTATTGCCCTACAACTGATCCTCTATTGTAACATACATTCGTGAACAGCTACAACATGGCCATCTAGACACGATTGTGTATATCTGGTCTGGATCATATTTGCCGTTATTCAATACCGGTACCTAATCCATGAATGAGTACGACGTAGTAATGGTACCAACCGGGCTACCTAAGGACTGGACCACGACAGTTGCTCCTTGGTGTTCCCTCACCAGAAAGTGGTCTGCCAGGAAGCAAAGACACAGGAAGATTCCAGAAGCCATGGCACATGACACAAAATAGCATTCAGATATATATTCCTCCTATTGTACACTATTAGAAGCATATGGTTATGCATGCATCATTGAAGCGATCATAGTTCGGCAAACAGCTGATGGGAGAGGGAGGGCGGAGAGGGGAGCATGTGAGAACAAGGGGGAGAAGGAGAAGGAAGTACCTGTCGTGCTGCCATCTCCCGGAGAGCTGAGATATTGGTGCCGGTGCTTCAAAGGCGGTCCTGACAGTCACCTTGCTTGCACTCGCAGCAACAGGTGGAGTGTGCAAGGGTGCAGATGCCATGACCCCTTCACCTGAGAATGAAAGAACGCGGGAGCAGTCTGATACACTAGTTTGAGACGCCACATATGGGAGACAAACACACAGGAAGTGCTGACATGTGCCGAGACAAGAGAGCAGGATTAAAAAGAGTGATACGGTATACAGGTGTTGGGAATGCAGAGGAAGGGGGCAGGCTGTATGGAAGGGGAAAGGGATGGACTGAACTGTACCTGATTGCGGGCCGTCAGGAATCAAGGGCGTGTTCTCATCACTCCCAACACACTTGCCAACGCCACTCCCCCAGCCTCGCTTCTTCGCACTTCCACCAACAGCCCCTCCGTGCCCCACACCCCATCCATGCCCCTTCACCCTGCTCCCCTTCACGCTTCCACCACCACCACCGTCCTGCCCCCCTCCACTCGCCTCCACCCCATCTCCACTATACCCCGCACTCTCCGGGCTGAAGGGCAAATTGGTCATGGGCGTGTAAAACTCCTCACCCTCCCCTCCTCCGGTCCCGCAGCTCACAGAAGCAGCAGTACCCAGCCTACTGCACCCAGCTGACGTGGAGGCATACAGAGCAGCAGCACCACCAGCAGTAGATGCTGCTGCTGCACCTTCATTGCCAGCTCCCACCCCCCTGAACCCAAACGGGCTGCGAGTGCCATCGCGAGTAGCCGCCATGCTGTGGATGGCGGATAGCACGCCGCCCAGCCGCTGCCGCACCCGCCGCGACCCGTGAGCTGAATCAGATGGCCGCTGCTGCCTGGGCTCGCTTGCAGGGGCGAAGTTGCCTCGCTCTGCTGCTGCTGCTGCTGCTGCTGGACGGGATCTGAGTGGGGAGTCAAGAGCCACTGCCTTGGTTGCTGCTGGGAGTTGCATGTGCAGAGAGGTGATTTGGGCGTCCTGGATAAGGCGGGAGGGATGGGACAGAAGTAAGATACACAATGACCAGGTTTAGTCCATTAGTTGTCTGCCGTGTTGCACTGTGCTGTGCTGTGCTGTGCTGTGCTGTGCTGAGGTGCGAGGGGCTGGCTGAACGAGTGGTATGGAAAGAGGCAATCAGAACTTCACATCGCTGACCAGCCACATTGAGAAGCAGCCATGCCCTGAACGAGCAACAAGCAACAAGAAGTCTCACCTTGGCCTTGACCTCTTCTTGAAGCTGCTCCACCGTCCACACCAGCTTCTCCACCTCGCTGCTCTTCCCACCCAGCTGCTGCTGCGACTCCCTCAGCTGCTGTGAGAGCCCCTCCACCTGCTTCATAGCAGCCTCCTGCCGCTGCACTGCCTGCTCCCACTGCCCTCTGCCCCGCACCTCCATCTCCGTCACGCGCTTCATCAGCAACACCACCTCCCTCTCCTTCGCGTCCTTCACCTGCTGCAGCCATTCCACCTCCTTCTCCAAACGCCTGCTCACCTCGCTTCCTTGCCCAGAGCACGCAGCAGCATTCCCCACTGCAGCCACTGCCACCTGCTGCCGCTTCTCATCAATTTCCTTCTCCACCTCCACTGCCTCAGCTGCCACACGCACAGTCCTCTCAACCACCTCCCGCCGCCCCGCCTCCTCCTCCGCCCTCTCCCTCACTGCCCCCTCCACTGCCCGCTTCTCCCCCTGCACGCGCTGCAGCGCCCGCCCCACTTCCAAAAACTCCCGGTTCTGCTGCTGGAAGGCCCGTTCTAGCTCGCCCCATTGCGCCTCCCACGCGCCCACCTTGCCCTCCACCTCCTCCACCAGCTTCCTCAGGGCATACACGCCTCTCAAAACGGACCCTCGCAGCCAGCAGGTGTCGTCGTTGGCCATGAGGGCATCGAATCCTGCTCGCACCAGCTGCTGTGCGATTCTGACTTGCCTGGATACCACGGCCGCAGGCGGAAGGGTCAGACCCTCACTGGGACTCGCTATAGCTCGTTCCGCCTCCTCGTTTGCCAGATTCCTCTCTTGCTCATTCTGCTCTGGCTTGCTGCTTTTCTCTGCCTTCACGCCCAAGAAACCAAGAAGCAGCACCCTCTGCCTCTGCAGCGCGTTCAGCACCTCCTCCACTTGCTCTCTTCCCACTCCTTGCTCTGCTGCCCTTCCTTCCCCTCCTCCCCCTTCTTGCCCTGTCCCCTCCTCCTTCTCTGTCCCGCTCACTCCTTCCTTCCCCCTTTCATCCACCCCCGCTGGCTCGACCTCTCCTTCACCTGCACCAGCACCTGATCCTTCCGCGCCCAGCGAACCACCTTCCCCTTCTATTCCTCCTGCCCCCACCATTTCTCCTGACCCCAAATTTGATCCCAGCAGCTTGGTTTCCATGCGGGAGGAGAGACCAGCAAGCCCAGCCCGGCACAGCACCACGGCCAACAGACTCTCCACCAGCACCACCTGAGCCAACACCCCCCGCACCTCCTCCACCTGCATGCGCCTCTGCTCGTGCCCCACATCCGCACCCATTGTACCAGCCTCTGCATCGCATTCCACCCCTCCCTGCCCACATCCCTGCTCCGCATGCTCCTGTTCTCCCTTGCCTTCCTGGTCCTCTACCCCGTTCTGGTTCAGGTTTAAGCCCAGCTCTCCCTGCTCCTGCTCCAGCTGCCGCCATCTCGCCTTCCACCCTTCCACAATCTCATCCCCGCCTCCTGCTCCCATCACCCCTCTACTCACAACCCCTGCGTCTCCAACCCTAGACCCTCCAACCCCTCCATCCCCAGCCCCGGCATCCCTCAGCAGCGGGCTCACGAGCAGCTTCTGCAGTGCTCTCTCCCGGGCTACCACAACAGCAACGCGAGCATGCATCTCGCTGCACCGTTGCTCCGCCAGAGCAGCGCGGCCCATGGTGCCCTTTGTCTGCTCCTCTGCTGCAGCCAGACGCGCCAACAGCTCCTGCACCTGCCCAGCCAGCCGCTGCTGCTCCTGCCCCTGCTGCTCCTCCCCCTTGTGCCCATCGCCCTTCTTCTCACACTCCTGCTGTCTATCCACCTGCTGTGGCCCGCTCTTAGCCTTCACTCCCAACCCACCACCCTGTAGCTCCTCGTTTTCGCTCTTATTCACAGCCCTCGCAGCCCTCGTCTTGCTGCTGCCCACCCCCTCAGCCTTAGCCTGCAGCCTCTCGCACTGCTGCTCCAGCGCCCTCACATGCTCCGCTAGCTGCCTGTTCCTGATCTCCACCTCCTCCACATGCTCCCTCACAACGGCCAGCGCTTCATCCACGTCAGCCATGAGCTCCTCATCCGCATCCTCCACGTCAGCAGCAACCTCCACGTTAACTGCATGCTCTACCCTAAATGGACTCTCAAGGGGTCCACCCGCTGCCGTTCTCCCCGTTATCAGCTGCTCCAGCCTACGACTCAGCCTAGCCAACTTGCTCCGCAGCCTCGCCCGCTCCTCCTCCATCTCACCCATCTCTCCCCTTGCCGCTTCCAGCCTCACCTTCACCGCACTCAGCTCCTCAAAAAGCACCACGTTCCTCGGACCCACCTCCATCAGCTCCTTCAAATACGCATCCCTCTCTTTCCTCAACCTATCTCTCTGCTCCTCCAGCCCCAGATACATCAACCCGACCTCCTCCTTCTCATCCTCCTCCGCCTGCTCCCTCTCCGCCTCCCTCTCCAACGTATTCAGCAGCGCCAGCTCCAGCGCCTGCCCTTTCGCCCGCAGCTGCTGCACCACCTCCTGCATCCGCACCATCAGCGGACCCGCCTTCTGCATCCTCCCGGACAGGCTCTTCACCTCGGCGTGAGCGGCCGCGAGCTGCTTCACCATGTGCCGCACCTGCGCCTCCATCAGCCTCAGCTTCTCCGCCTGCGCCTCTGCTTGGCTCACTGGCGCGCTCCTCCTCCGCTTCTTCTTCTCTAGCCTTCGCCCCAACGCACCTTGCGTGGCTCCTTCGCCCCCTGCCTGCCCTCCCACCGCCCCAATCACTGCATATCTGAGCAGGTCGCTGTCCAAGTCAGCGCTGGCAGAAACGTTGTCTCCGGCAAAGGGAAGAGTCCACCTATTTGCGAGAAACGCATTGGCAGAAGCACAGGCAGGTAGCGCAGGCATGTCTGCTGCAGAGCCGAGGAGGGGAACTGGGCTGGGGGCAGAACCAGCCCCTCCTTCGTGCGAATCAGGTTCCTTCCCCTTTGCATCTGCTGCGCTGCTGCCTTTATCTGCTCCTCGCGAAGGGCTTGTCCTGTTGGTCACATCACGGAGCTCTGTGAGGCACAGAGTCATTGGGCTGAGAATACCTTCCTTTTCCTCCTCCCCACCTGCCTCCCCTGCTTCCTCATAACCCTTCACAGTCTCCTGCCACCTCCGCTTGCTTCCACTCCCTCCTCCCTCACGCCTCTCCTGCTGCTCCTCCTTCTCCTCCTCCTCCTCCTCTCGCTGCTTCTGCTCCTCTCCCGTTTCCTTCTCCAGCATTATAGCCTCCTCCAGCAGACCCACACTCTCCTGCTCCAGTCGCCCCACCCGTTCCTTCGCCTCCTTCAGACCCTGCAGCGCCGAGCACAGCTGCTCCTCCAGCGCCAGGTTCACCTGCTGCAGCTTGCGCCCCCCAGCAGCGAACTCCTCCGCCTCCCTCCTCGCCCTCTCCGCCGCCTCCTCCGCCCGCCTCTGCCTCTCGCAAGCAGCCTCCAGCAGCCCGTCCCTGTCGCCCACCTTCTCTGCCAGGTCAATCACCCGACCCCTCTCCGTCTTCAGCTCCTCCTCCAGCTTCGCTATCCTCTCGCTCAGTTCCGACCGCTTCTTTGCAGCATCTGAACCAACAGCACCATCAGCGCCGTCAGCATCACCGTCCGCCCCGCTCTTCTCTGCTGCAGCCCACAGCAGCTCCCGCTCTTTCTCCAGCGCTTGCACCTTCTCCTCCAGCTCCGCCTGCTTCCCCTTCATCCCCTCAAGCTCCTCCTCCAACACCCTCTTCTGCTCTTCAAGCTCCTTCGCATTCTCCCTCGCAGCATCTTCCATCTCCTGCTGCTTTCTCTTAATTCCCTCAAGCTCCTCTTCCAGCGCGCTCTTCTGCTCTTCTAACGCGCCCTCCTTCTCCTTCCCAGCATCCTCCATCTCCACCAGCTTTCGCTTCATTCCCTCTAGTCCCTCCTCCAACACTCTCTTCTGTTGTTCAAGCTCCCGAACCTTCTCTCTCCCAGCATCTTCCGCCTCCACCTGCGCTCTCCTCATCTCCTCCAGTGCCTCTTCTAACGCCTTCCTCTGCTCTTCCGCCACCCTCTCCTTCTCCTTCCCAGCAGCTGCTGCCTCTGCCGCCTCTCCCTCAGCCTTCGCCTTCTCCTCCAACAACCCCTCCACCTGCCTCCGCACCGCTTCCAAATCAGCCCGCAGCTGTGCTGCGTCAGCTGCGCTCCTCTCGCTCTCGGCCACACTCCTCGCCAGCTCGGCCCGGCACGCCTGCAGGTCCCGAGCGAGGGCGGCGCTCTGAGCGTGGTGCTCTGCGGCCTCCACCTTGAGCACTGATTCCGCCTGCTGGGTGGCCGCCAGCTGCTGCAGCAGCTTGCCCACCTTCGCTTCCGCCACTCCACACCGGACGCGCGCCTGGGAACACAGAGAGGCAGCGATGCACATGGATGCGTTACAGTGAGGAGTGCAGAGAGGAACGCAGTGGAGTGATTTGAAACAATCGAGATTATGTTTAATTGAAAGTTTGAAAGAGTACAGTGATGTTGTTATGATCACCAGCAAAGGAAGCAGTGAAGTAGATGCAGATTGTCATAACATCAATGAAGATCAGATGTTGAGGGGACGATGATGCTCACATCATAGAACCGGCACTCGTGTCATCAGATTGCCACACTCACATCATCAAACTCGTGCTTGCGGTCGTTGACGCTGCGCTGAAGCTGCCGTGTGTTGTTCACCTCCGTGCGGTACTGCTCCGCCACTGCTGCCACCTTCTTCACCTGCCATGCCAGGCAGAGTGTGGGAAAAACAAATGCCAGTCAGCCAGGTGGCATTCACCATAGAGCCACCTGTTGTTCACCTCCACATGGTACTGCTCCGCCACCACCGCCACCTTCTTCACCTGCGATACCATGCCAGTCAGTCAGTCACAGCGTGCAACAAGCAAGAGTCAGTCAGGCAGGAGGAATTCAGCGTGGAACCACATGTTGTGCACTAACTGCTGGTTCTGCTCTGCCACAACCGCCATGCCATGCTAGCAAGTAGTTCGCGAGTGTCAGCTCACAGAAAAGAGAGACGTGTGAGACCAACGAAACGAACTGCATGCACAGTCATACCCCCACTCACATGCCTCCCCCTCCTCCCACCCACATCCCTCCCCGCTCACATCCCTTCCCACCCTCCTCCCCAATCATATCCCTCCCCACCCTCCTCCCCGTTCACACCCTTCCCCACCCTCCTCCCCACTCACATGCTCCTCCATGCCAACGAGCTTGGCTCGGAGCTCCTCCCGCTCCCGCCGCCCCTCCTCCTCCTTGCCTCGCAGCGCCTCGTTCTCGTCGAACGCCTCCTTGAGCTCCTCCCTCAGGGCGTTGTTCAGGCGCTCCAGTGCCGCCACCTTGTCCCCCTCGCTCGTGCCCGTCTGTAGCTGCTCCTCCAGCTCGCTGATGCGCGCTGCATTGGGGGCATAGCAGGAGAAATTGAATTAGGAATGGGCAATATGGACCAAATCGGGAAAATAGAGAGTTTTCAGCGTGTGCCTCACCATGTCTCACACTACGTACCTTTGCAGACGTCAACCTCCAGCTGGAAGCGGATGGCATCGGGGTTCCTCTCCACCATGCGCCTCAGCACCTCCACTTCCTGAGTCAGCTCCTCCACTGCTGCCGCGTCCTCCCCCCGCACACACTGCCCCTCGCACCTCCCCTGCGCCTCCACCCGCTTGATCCTCTCGTCCCGCAGCTTCACCACCATCTTCAGCCCCTGTGGCACCACACAGCACCGATTATGCCAACCAAGCCAGCCATGCCAGTCAAGCCAGTCAAGCCAGTCAAGCCAGTCAAGCCAGTCAAGCCAGTCAAGCCAGTCAAGCCAGTCAAGCCAGTCAAGCCAGTCAAGCCAGTCATGCCAGTCATGCAAGTCAAGCCAGTCATTCAAGTCATGCCAGTCATGCCAAGGACACACAGTTGTCAGGAACAGAAAACTGCAGCATGCGGTAACCCCATGTGGTCCACTGGTAGAACGGAGACAGTAATGAAAATGTGCCAGGCGGCCATACACTGCATGCACAACACGACCACTTCACCAGGGCCACAGTACCTCACTCGATCTCAACGAACAGGACGGAGAGAACCAGCCAAAACGTGACAGCACCAGCTGAAGGCAGCCGCTCACCTGCCCACTTCAAAGCTTTAATAATTAAATCCACCGGTCATCATTACCTGGACACTCCTCTTGAGCCCTTCCGCCAGGGCCTCAGCAGCATCGGCTCTCTTGCTCTGCTTCGACACCTCCTGCCCCGCCTGCCTCTCCGCTTCCAGAGCCCGCTTGGTGGATTGCGAGATGATCTGCTCCAGGCGGCAGATGCGCTCGTTCTCTGCTGTGAGGGTGGGGGTGCAGAGGGGCAAGGGCACACATGTACAGGAAAAAACATTTAACAGAAGCAAATACATAAAGGAGCACACGTACAATGAAATCATGCCAAGACAAGAGCATTGAAGGGACCCACAGTCCGTCAAACAAGACCCCAGGTTTCAAAACAACACCACTATCGGTTTGGGTTTTCTGCACTCTACCTGACATTGGTGCAGGAGACGGGCTAGGTGGAAGCAGTGGCTGCCCTGGCACTCCAGCTGTCGCATTGGCTGCACGCACACAAGAGAAACTGAGGTCAGCCTTCTCACACAAGCAGAGTCATCCTCCTCACTCAAAAGTCAAAACGCATCCTGATCCAGTCCAGAACCTATCCAAACCCCAATTCCTTCCTCCTCTCTATCAGAGCGTGCATACCTCTAAGCTCGGCGATTTCGAGGCGCAAGCGCCGAATCTCCTCGCCCATGACGGCGGGGTTGCCCATCATCAGCTCGTTCACTACCGCCTCGTTGTGCATCAGCTTCGCCCGCTGCGCAAACTTGAGCGTCGACATCGTTTCATCCATGTTGCGCTCCGCAGGACTCACTGCCGCCAGCAGGGTGCACTTGGAGTTGCCACCCAATGAGTCCTGAAAAGCAGAAGAATACAAAACAGAATCAGAACTCACCAATAAAAAGAATCACAAGGGTGAAGCAAAATGCTGTATTTCATTCGAAATGCTGTCAGCTCAGGTGCTTCTTACACTCAGAAGAAAGGTGAGCTTCGAGTCTCGATAGGGCACGTGGCGAACCTTCCCCTCCGCAATGTCAACCAAGGCCTGCAAAGAATCACACAATTTCAGACTCCAAATTTCCAACAACATAGCAAAATCTGCCACTCAAATCCTTAGCAAAACTGCAACTCAAAATACTCACCTTGATGACATTTCCCAACGCAGAAAGTGACTTGTTGATGCTCCCGGCCTCCTTCAGCCGCATCCCCTGCGCCTCACTGTGCTTCTGCCTCTCCGACCCTGCTAGGTCTACCAGATTGAACCGTGAGGTCCTCCTCTTCATCACCCCTGCGTCGTCCCGCCGCTGCAGCCCAGCAAGACACACAGGAAGGGAAATTCAGCGTGAGATGAGAAGCCGCCATGGGATGTGATCAGGAAGCACAGAAACTGGTGGCGTCATGGAAGGAGAAAAAACGGCAGAAGCGAGTGTGATTATCAGAATCTGAGGAGCAGATTTCAGACTTCGCATATTCATTTAAAGCACAAAACCGGTACTGTACCTGAGTTTCCACCACAATAGTGAACACGCTATGAGAGCGGCTGCTCTCCATGTTCATGGCGGTCTGGCCCACGCGTCGGTTCTGCGAGCCGCGCTTGAACAGCGCATAGGTGGCGTCGGCTGTGGAAACCACCACCTCCTGCAGGCCCTCCACGAACATCCCGTGCCTCATGTCCTCCCTCACATCTGCCACACCACAAACATAAGAACGGATTCATTATAACAGGTGCATCCAAACAGATGTATGGCATTTGACACATGAAAACAGATGCATGACAGCTGATGTATGACACTGATGCATGACAGCTGATGTATGACGCTGTTGCATGTCAGCGCACGAAAATGGACGGATGCACGAAATCAACAAAGGTTAACCTAATCACGAGTCAACACAAAACATGTATGAGCAGACTCTGAACGAACGCGACTCTGAATTTCATGGTAGAGCAGTAGGGACATACTCAGGTTCACCGAATCTGGCTCGAGGAGGTCGGACACCTGCTCATTGTAAATCTGCAGGTAGGAGCAGCGGATGGTGAACTCTAGCATCTGCAGCTCCTGCACGCACAGACACAACAGAAGTTATGTAAGATTGAATGACGTCAAGTAGTACGTAGACAAAAAGCAAGGAAAAACCAGCATCATAGTTGCTTCCGACGTAAGAATGAAAGGCAGAAAGGGTCGTACCTTGTCAGCTGACAGTCTCTGGAAGATGTACTGCAGAATTCGTGGAATGAGGCCGCGTTTGTCCACGCTTCGCTGGGATCCTTCCCCTTCGCTGTCCCAATCCGGTCCTGCGAATGCCAATGAAGAACAAAACATTAGATATTTCCGTAATCTGAGATCAATGAAGCATCAAATATGTCGAAATGATACGCAACGTCCGCCTTACCCTCCATCGTAAAGGTCTTGCCTGCTCCAGTTTGCCCTGCGAATCAACAGCATCGCGTGGTGATATCAGCAAATAAAAATCGAGCGAATGCTTCTGAAATTACAGAGAGTTAGTTGTTCCCGTACCATACGCAAGAAGGCAGCAGTGGTAACCTTCCAAACACGCATCCGTGATAGGCTTTCCGATTGTCGTGAAGATGTCCTCCTGCAAACCGAGAAAAAACATGACAGACAAAAAGAACGTCAGTTCATGACTTATCAGATGCATGAGACGCGAGCCACGAATGGAAGGTTATTGTGAGCCGCTGTCACCTGCTGCGTATCTTCGTCCGCGATATAGTCGAAAGAGAAAGGCTTCGAAGGAGGCCTTGTCGAGAGATGTAGCAGTTTTGAGCTGGGATCGACTGTTATGCATTTATGGTAGCCTAAATCGTTTTCCCGCTCGTTGGGGGGTCTTACTCGCACGACCACTTGCACGTTGGAATTCGCTCTCGCGACGGCACCCGGATCCGGGTCTAGCGAGCTGTGACGTTCTATCACCATTGTGTCTTCAAAATGGGTCTAAAATAATTATCTGAACTGATACAAGCGGTTATCTCGGCAAGTAGTTGAATTAATCAGATCGAAAATTCGACAGATGCTGCAGACGGCAATATTACGCAAGCGAGGAGCTTGACGTGAGTGATAACGACCACATAAAACTCGCCTTCAGGTGATTTAGCTTAGGAACAACAGGTCTTGCCGATCGAGTTCAGGCGGTGCAATAGTCAACATGCTAAACAAGACGACGCTGCGTGGCTCCTAAGCCGATGACCTAAATACCTAGAGCAAACAATGATAAGCACAGGGCTCAGCGAGCAGGAATGAAACAGGATAGAACGTCATGTATTCCGAGTCCTTTCAGGATAAGCTTCCCTGAAAATTGAAATGCTGCCTGAAAGGAGACGAGATGAGTGCCCACCCACCCATTCAGGCAGTGAAACCTCATCGGTTCAGAGATGCCGAAGTTGAATCCGAAGCGTCCCGCACATTCATTCCAGAACACTTGCCACGGTTCGATTTGGTTTTTTTCGGTTCAAAGCAATGAAAACGGTTGAATTTCAGGCTACCGTCTGGAATCTCACTGAACCACATCGGTTCGATCATTGATCTGGTTGGGCAGCCAACCAATCGGGACAGCGAGGCTTCGGGAAGGAGTTCGGGAACTGCTGAAATGAAATCCTGTGGTTCGAATTTGTAGTTCACTGACAAGGGAACGGAGTAGATTTGGCGGGAACGTCTCTGACAGAAGAGAGTTTGAACAGAGCTATCTGACAGCGAAGGCGGAGCAAAAATATACGTTCTATAAGCAACAACAGGGCAACACAGGAGTGCACCTTAAAGATAACTAGGAAATTATTCCCACCAGTACACAAAATAGGTGCACTAGTTACTCAAAGGATGTATGAAGACAAACAATGGTTATGTATTATGTGAATTGGAATCTTTTGCAGGAAAATGGAATATAATCAGGATACCAGCTAAATTTCAATGCAGAGCCGACGTGCGATCCAATTAAACATTGTTGGTGTATTTTTTATTGGTGTACAACAACTATTCCCATCCATCCCGATTTGTGCCCCTGCACTTGGTTTGGGCTGCAGATGACCGAGCTACTCAACCCTAAAACTTGGTAATTAATTATGTACATTTAACTCCGGATTGTTTGTAAGGGCATGGATCAATTCTCATTCTTGGGGAACAGCCCAACATTGACATTTGCTTACAAGGCCCACATCCACATGCATCTCCTCTCTTTAGCAATAACGTCACTGCACAAAACCCTAACTAGGCACCTGCACCTGCCGTATATGCTCCTTATTTTGGCCTTGTCAGATACTTCCCGCAGAAGCGAGCTTGTTACCTCCGCGTCCTACGACTATATGTGATGACGTCACAATACAATTCAAAGAAGCACGGGCGTCAGCCTCCGACGCAGGATAACTATCAGCAGTGAAAATGAAGCTGTAACGCTTACGGCCAGCCTTGGGATTTGTGATGTTAACCATAGGAAGTGACTGAAGGGAAGCTGTGAGGCGGGAACATCCAAAACCCACCTTGGAGATATCTCCTTCTTTGATGTTGGAGACTAAAACTTTATGAGCACCCTGTAGGTCGATGCGTACCTGCCAACAGGGCAAGGAGAGATAATAGTCAGAGAATACTGCCATTGTCAGTAGATCTGCACTGTGGATGCCCGATTGATCATAGGGGGGGTTACATGCGCGTTCGCTTGGGGGGTTATGGGCGCACAAACCCGCTACACAAACAAGCTCTTTTATCCCAATGGTCTAGTGGTTTGGATTCTGACATGGTATCAGAGCGGTCTCGGGTTCGAATCCCGGTGTATGCACATGTAGGCCGTATCGGAAACTAACGAGCATGAATGTTGAACAGCCGAAGAGTGATTGCACTAGCAGGTAGATGGGATACAAATAGAAAACCCTAACAGAACTGTACTCACTATTGAGTACCCCACTGCAAACTAGACAATATAACATTCTGACACACCCTCATAAGCAAAGTGGGGTATAATCAGCACAACAAGCAGTCATAGAGCAAGTTCACAAATTAGCCCTAGTGGCAGACATAGCAGAGGGGCAGTGAGGAGGAGGAGGGACTACGAGAGGAGAGGAGTTGGGAGGCGGCAGGTGAAGCTACTGACACACGGGCAAAGGAGCAACTAGCACACTGGCTACCGGAGCAAGGGCCCTGAACTACTGGAGCAACTGGCTCCGCGGCTAGACGAGCGGCTGGAGCAACGGACCCACGGGCGACTGGAGCAACGGGCTCACGTGCTACCGGAGCAAGGGCCCCTGACTACTGGAGCAGCAGGCGATACAACGGCTACCTCCTTCCAACCTCCCCCCATTGCCCCCAAACCCTTTTCTCACATCCCCCCCGGCTAGCGCCACTCCCCAACCTCATCCACTCCATCCCCCCCTCAGCGGCAGGTGCAGCAGTGGGAGAGAGGGGAGGAGGAGGGGCAGCTGGTCACGCACTCCCACCACCCCCATACCCCCCCTTACCCCCGCCACCCCCATACCCTCCACACGGCTGCACGCGCAGCAGGAAGTCGAAGGAGGAGGGGGGAGGGCGGGCGGCGTCGCGACGTGCAGGGCGCGGGCGGGCAGTGGGGCGCTCGCAACAGGCAGGGCGGGGGCGGCAGGCGGGTCCAGGAGGGGCGGCGCGCGGGACCCCAAGGGCGGCGCGCGGGTCCAGCGGGGCAGCGCGCGGGTCCAGCAGGGGCGGCGCGCGGGTCCCGGAGGGCGTCGCGCGGGTCCAGCGGGAGCGGCGCACGGGTCCCGCAGGGCGTCGCGCGCGTCCAGCGGGGCAGCGAGCGGGTCCCGCGGGGGCGGCGCGCGGGTCCCACAGGGCGGGGCGCGGGTCAGGTGGGGCGACGCGCCGAGCAAACGCGCGGCGAGAAGAAAAAACGCCGTGCACCCCGAGTGCGCGGCAGGCAGAAAACGTCGCGCGCTCGGGGCGCGCGATAGGCAGGACAACAGCGGAAGCATAGGATGTGTCAACGGGAGTTGTGTTTGGCCCCTTCCTCGCTTGGGCGGAGCCAACCACAGGAGGACTGTGGGAGCCGCGAAACCGCGGGAGGACCGTGGGAGCCGCAAAACCGCGGGAGGACCGTGGGAGCCGCGAAGCCGCGGGAGGACCGTGGGAGCCGCGAAACCACGTGAGGACCGTGGGAGCCGCGAAACCGCGGGAGGACCGTGGGAGCCGCGAAACCCGGGAGGACCGTGGGAGCCGCGAAACCGCGGGAGGACCGTGGGGGCCGCGAAACCGCGGGAGGACCGCGAAATACCCAGTCAACCAGGATACCCGGGCGATGTGCGCGAAAGTCGCCGGGGGTGTTTTCTGCGAGTACGACCTCGGGGGTGGTATCCCGAGGTCGACGTGGCTGGTGGGCGCCGTCACGAGTGGAGTGTCTGCGCTGGGCATGTGACAGAGAGTTGGGCGCCAACCAGCTGCACGCACCTGCGAAGGTGGTGCACCATTGTCAGGCGGGTGCAACGCTGTGCAGCCGACTTATTGCAGCGTTGGCACACCGCGGAGTTGCAACGTTGGCAAGCCGCGACTCTGCTCTGCTGGAGCGCGGTCGACCAAGTCGTGCTGGCACACGGTCGACCGTGCTGCGCTGGCAGTCTACCAGCAGCCTTGCTAGGTCTGATGTGGTCTGTGTTGCCAATGTTGATGCAATCATTCTAGACTTTGTTGTCAGGTTTTCCTAGTGAAACTCTTGCCAATTTTCCCCGTGAACTAGCAAGCAGTGTTAGCACTTGGAAACGACTAAGGAAGGAACGAACGCTACGATCACTCTTGCCCCGTGCCTAGTCTAGCTCCCGTTGCACAAGTTATCTTCGCAGGGTGGACCCACAAGCCAGGATCGAACGGGCTCTGAAACCATGTCAGAATCCCAACCACTAGACCATTGGGATAAAAGAGCTTGTTAAGTAGCGGGTCAGTGCGCCCATAAACCCCCAGGACAACGAGCCTGTAATCCTTCCCTAGGATCAATCGGGGATCACCAGTGGACCTCTGACACCCCCTTGCACTGGGATGCCCGAAGTGCACACACTGGTATTCGAATCCGAGACCTTCGCTCTGATACCATGTCGGAAACTAACGAGCAGGAATGTTGAACAGCAGAAGAGGGATTGCACTAGCAGGCAGAGGGGATACAATTAGGAAACCCTAACCGGGCTGTACTCACTACTGAGTACCCCACTGCAGACTAGACAATATAACATTCTTATAGGCCGTTGCCGCTGTGCTCAGTCCTGGACCTCCCAGTGTGGGAGGGTGTCAGTAGATCTGTACCGTGGATGCCCGATTGATCATAGGGGGGGGTTACAGGCGCGTTCGCCTGGGGGGTTATAAGCGCACAAACCCGCTACACAAATAAGCCATTTTACCTCAATGGCCTAGTGGTTGGGATTATGACAGCCATGGCACATCATCATGCTCCCGCCTCTCCTGTGCAAACACTTGTTTAACACTCGCAATAGCAAACAACGGTTGTTTGCAGACATAAATTAGAAAAAGGGATGTGGATCGAACGCACACGATTCGCATAAGTCATTGCAACCCCATGGGAATGATGCAATCGCCAGTGGAACAAGCAAACGAGGGGACAAACGAGGGGACAGCGGCGTA